CACACACATGTACTCACGGCTCAGGTGTGTACAGTGGGTCTGTGCTGTGGCGAATGTACTGAGTGCAGTTAAACACACGGAACGCCAGACCTGCCAGGAAGTCTCTGGGAGACAAGTATCCTGCCACGGGACGCACAGTGAAGCCGGGGCGCTCTGGAATACACACACACACACACAGGGACCAATCACAGAGCAGGGTCAGGTTGGCCATCACACAGAGTTACACACACGGTCTCTCACACACATTCACACCTTTCAGAAAGACAGAGACGTCCTCCAGCTGAGGGACGTTGTCCTCTCTGTAACCACAGTGTTTGACCAGCAGGGGGAGATTTTTCAGATACTCCCTGCAGGCGTGACTGGGATACAGTTTGCTCAGTTCTCTGAAGACTATGCCCCACGTGCGCACTTCCTCTGCTGTGTATTCAATACGTGGGATGGGGTGTCCACTGGTGGGACAGAAAGAAATGGGACACAAGCCCTCACAGACAGGAAGCTTTGAGACAAATACAATAACAGATAAACAGTAAAGGAAGTAAACAAATACTCACAACTTATAATTCATGGCCACCTCCACAAAGTACTTCCTGCGCTGGCGATAAACTTCGTCCTTAAAACCCTGAAGACAAAATAAAGAGGAGGGAAGAAGACAACAGTGATGTCAACCCAAAGATGGCCGCTTCATCTCTACTCTCTATAACTGTTTAAGTATATGGTGCTCCATTAGAGTCCCTGTGGCAGCCATCTTTGTAGTGGCCACATGGACCACCACACTCACAGGATGATCTGCGTCCAGCTCAGAGCCGTACATCAGGACCCGATGAGAGCACTGATCCAGTTCTGAGATCTTCATGGGGAACCAGGGAACCTCCTCATCGTCTGCACAGAGAAACCCTTAGGTCAGGTGACATCACTTGTTGTCAGACAGGCCACTGGATGTGCTTGGAGTGTTCATACCCGCCTCAGTGGCCCAAACGTGGGCTGGTGTGTTAAAGGAGACCACATTGACGTGAACTTTCAGGAGGTCCAGCAGTTCCTCAAATTCAGTCTGGCTGCAACTGCAGTCAGCAAAAATCTCCACCTCATTAGTGTTTCGCTTGGAAGGTCGGGACTCTATGTGGTTCAAGTTCACCCGCTTCTCCTGCGCAACAGAGTCAAGAACTGCAGTGTCCAGATCTTAAGGTGGAACTGGATTAACAGTACAAGTGGATATCATTTTAAATTTAGCTCCATAATACTGTGTGTATTCACAATTTTGTACTAATCTGGAATTGTGCTAGATCTAAATCTAGTTCATGGTCTGGACTTGAGACTTGCATCTTGCTCTTGTTTGAGTTCCTGAAAGTGGACCTGAGGTCTGGCTCTATATGTAGGCCTTAATGTGGGTCTCGATAGGTAGTGTTTTTGGTCAAAGCTTTGGATCTATTTAGGCTGCCTCTGGATGTGAATCTGGTCCAGACCCTGTTTTGGGTCTTGTCCAAATTCTGGTCTTACCTGGAAGACGTTCAGGGCTTTGATTAAACATCCAACTTCATTTTTCAGGGAAAAGACCACAGCTGTTTTCCCAGAATCCTCTGTGGTCTCAGGCTTCTCATTGATTGGACAGAAGGATGTACGTCGGGACTGGACACAGAAATGCCCGGAAGACAGGTCAGACAGATAGAGTTTGACATTAGACTGGACATTAGTTCTGACTCACCATCTGACCTCCGGTGTGGTGTTTCTGCTTGTCAAACATAGCTGAGTCCAGGGACAGACCTCTCCTGGACCAGTACTTGGTGGAGAACATCATCATGGATGCCGGCTGCATCCTCGGAACAGGTTCCCTTTTCACATGGGGTGATGCCATTGGGAACCAGTGGGTGTAAGAATACCAGGGATCGTGACGCACCTTGGTCTCTGTCCCAGGACCTGTGGACTGCTGCCTGGGATCCAGAATGTCACGCTGTGGTCTGGGATCCAGAATTTTGTCTTATTTTTCTAAATTCTTGGAAAGATAAGTCCCAGGAATCCTGTCTCTGAATGGATTTGTCTTTATGGTCCCTAAGAAAAGGAGACAAGAGCCTGGGGTGTCTCTAAATGTCTATTCCCTTTGAATTACGGAGTGGGTTGCCACTGAAAGTAAGACCTGTCCTCTGTATCTTCGTCCTCTGTCTGTCCCTCATGGAGCAGGATTCATTTTACGTTCTTCTGTCTCCTTCGTCTGTCCCTGGAGTACCAGTCTCTAACTTTCTGTCTTTGCAGCTCGGGAATGTTTTCCCCGTCTATCGCAGTGTGTTGTCCCTGGTGAACTTCGGATGTGTCTTCTACATGTCCCTGTCCCTCCTGCTCTCAGACTCTCTTCCCTCGTCCTCTCCTTAAATACGGATATGTATGGGGGGGCAGTGAAGGCGTGCCACATGCTTATTAGACATCAGTGTTGTCATGGAGATGGTGATTGACAATCCGTTGGGTGTCTGTCTCTCAGATGTCCTCGGGATAAGACCCTCACGGCAGAGGCAGAGAGCAGACAATTTCCTGCTTCACAGGAAATGAAAGAGCAGTGAGCGCCGTCTCTTTGTTGTCCTCAGATCAGCTGATATGAGGCGTCGCCTTCATCATCAAACCTGCAGAACGCAGGAAGGCGGGGCCGGGGAACGTCATCAGGTACGATGACATTTACCCCTGCGCCAGGAGCAAAACAAGAACTTTAACTCAGACCAGAATCAGGAGCTGACAGGTTCTGCAGCATCGGGACATTCGTGATAACGACAACCAGAAATTAAAGATATTATAAATGACAGTCAGGCCACACCCACCCGATGATGTCACAGAATACAGTCAGACTGACTGTAAAATCACATCATCTCACCAACTCCCCTACAATCCTTTTTTTTCCTAACCTTATCTCCTTTCCTATCCCCGTCTCTTTTTTACTCATCTTTTCCGACAATACAAGAGAAAAGAATCAAGGTTAAAAACGTGTAGATGGTTTCTAATAAAAATAAAGTTAAAAAAAACAATGTGTAGATGGTTTAAAGGGGTTTGAAAACTGATCAGTGATCAATCAAATTGGATCAGATTGATTTATTTAAACTTTATTTACAAAGCCTGGGAATAAAGGGCCACGCCCACATTTTTAGGAAACATGACGTCAGCAGAGGTAAAATGCTAACGATTCCTGTGCGAGTAACAGGACCATTTCCCAGAATGCTGTCCTGTTCCTCATATGCGAGGACAGTCCTTCCCACAGCTAGCAGTCCAATCAGAACATAGACCACATTATCTTCTTATTCCACTATGAAGTCACTTCCTGTTCTGACGACGTTCACAAGCTGGATAAAATGTCAGTGCTGTCTCCTGTGGCTGTGTGAAGGAAAGACAGGAAGTACAAAAATAACTTTCTTCTCTGAAAAGGGCGGAGCGAGCACTGCGGCTCCAGGAGGTGGTGAACTCAGGGTTGTGACTTTTTGACGAGGCGTGGCCAGAGACTAGGACATGAAGGCCACGCTGTATGAACTCTGGTCTCTCAAGTGTCCATTTGTACAGACATCATGTCGCTGCGATGTTCTGATAGGAGGTGGAGTCACTGGAGTAACAGCAGCTGTGTAAGTAGGAGCCACTGCAGCAGGGGGCACTGTCAGCACACCAGAGTGAGGAGCAGTCTTTGTCTGGAGTTGGTTCTGGTTCTTGGAGACTGGTTTGTGGGAACTAAAGCCCAGGATGTTTCTGACCGAGTCTGGCAAATCCTAAAGGAAAGAAAACGTGACGTAAGAGAAGATAAACCAATCAGACGAGTGCTGTTGATGATGAAATCACAATGATGTCATACCTTACAGCTGCTCAGCTGCATACAGATTCCTTCAGCCCTCTGAAGGATCTCCTCCACGTCCAGTTTCATCGACAGCTCGTTGACGTGCTGAACAAATCATAGAAAAACAAACAAATGAGGTCAGAATTAAAGCTCCGCCCTCTCACTGCAGGGGGGGGGGGCGTCTGGGAGGAGGCTCCTTCTTACCTTGAGGATCTCGTTGAAGCCCATGTTCTCCTCCATTATTTTGTGTTTCTCAGAGTCCAGGATGGAACAGCAGATCAGCAGGTGGAAGTTCTCACAGGGAAGACCAGTCCACATCACCTGACCGTGACATCATCACCATCAGACAGGAACTCACACGTGTGTGTGTGTGTGTGTGTGTGTTTTATTTACTGACCTCCCAGAGTCTGAGGACATCCTGGAAACTGAGCTCTCTCTTAAACCTGATCAGGAGCCAACGGAAGCAGAAGTAGAGGAACCCGGAGTCCTGAGACTCTGAAAGAGACGACATTCTTTGGTGAGACCAGCGATCAGAGTTTAAATCATCATGTGGACTGCACAACTAGTAGCCTGATGTAGTAAAAGCCCATAAACTTAGGTACCAAGATAGTTCCAGAAGGTCAGGTCTAACAGACGCAGCAGAGAACTGAGCTGGACCAGCTGGGTCTTCATCCCCTGCATCTGCTCCTCAAAGTTCTGGTGCTGCAGAAAGACCAAGGTGTCAGCAGCAGGGCAGGATCCAGGATCCATTACTTTAAGCCACTTCTCCACTCACCATCTGGTCCATGAAGGACACGAAACACCAGAAGGCGTCCACCTCGTTTTCCATCACGAAGAGGATTGGAGACAGCAGGTCGCTCATACCCTGCACATACCCTGAGGAGGTCAGATGGGGTCAGAGTTACTGACAGGACCAGTGTGGTCTGTCATAGACATGTGGCGTTCCACTGATGTTCTACACGTTTGGCTGATCCTATTACATTCTCTGTGTCCGTCACATTGCTGTAACATTCGATTTTTCTTTATCAATTTTTAACCTCTTCATGATGCATCGTTCCATCCCTAAATACTGCTGTAGAACAGCTGCTGCTGTGAGCCTCACCCAGGTCGAAGTCGTACATGCAGTAGGTCATGAGGATGTCGTGTAGAAGAGCCAGACCCGGGTTGTCGATGCCTTCGTAGAAACGGTTGTTTCTGTCTGTCCTGTTCACGTCTTTCTCTGAAAACACACCGATGTCACAACGATTGACTTCGCCCACAGTCAGAATGATCATGTGACTCACCGATGAGACTCCTGTAGTCTCGGAGTCTGGAGTTCCTCTTCTCCTGCTCCGCACTCACAGACTTCCACTGCAGCTTCATCCTGAAGTACTCGTCTCTGTGGAGCAGAGCAACGTTAGGGTCAACAACAGAAAGCTGTAGAAGAATTTGACAGGTGAGGGAGGGTCACATACGTCCTGTCTTTCTGCAGACACTTCCTGTCCTCCAGGGAACTGTTCCAGGGAAAATACTCCAGTAGAAACTTCCAGGCTTCCTTGCGTACGGAGTGACACAGTCCCTGTAGGAAAGGCAGGGGGAGGAGTCAGCCAGTGTGTGTGTGTGTGTGTGTGTGTGTGTGAGTCAGAGGCAGGCAGAAGTTCTCACCCCTCGGAAGATGTGACATTTGAGGTCTTTGACTCCAAACAGCCGTCCCTCTACGTCCTGGTGTTTAGCCCACGTCTCCGTAGACACGGGCCCCAGCCTCGTCACCTGAGGTCGTGCCCCCAGGTCAATCTGACAGTGTGACATCATGTGAAGTTATTCGAACCAGCAATGCTCTAACCACTAAGCCACAGGCTGTCCCTCAAACAAACATCCAAAAGAACAAGAGTTCAATTTGAACAAAGTCCTGTTCATTTTTATTCAGTTGTTTCAAATCTACAGTCCCAGGGAGTGTAGACTTATCATGTCCCCCACACACGTCTTCACTCACTCTAGTGATGACCTCAAAGCCCGGTTCTTCCTGCTGGTTGATCTCCAGTCCTGGGATGACCTCACCCAACAGGTCAGCCACCTCCTCTGGGGGGCGCTGGTGCTGCTCCTCTGAACCTCTGAAGGCTTCAAAGATGTAGTTGGTGACTTTAGAGAAGCTGCCCAGTGTTGCCACATACGGATCCTTTCTTAGCTTCTGGTTAGGGAAAAAAAAGAAATCCAGTGATTTTAGCTTTTAATGCCCTGAACCACGAGGTTCAAATGTGGGATTCTGTTTGACATTGGTGACTCAGTTGTTTGGTTCTGAACAAGTGTCTCACCTGAATGAGGCCAAAGTTGTTGTCGTCCAGAAGATTTTCGAAGGACTGCGACAGAGCTTTGTTTGGAGTGCTGACCATAAGACACTGGTGATTATCTGGACTCCTGCAGACACACGTTATCACAGTGAATTCCTTACATCAAAATTACAATCTCTATTCCAAACAGCAATTTTTAAAAAAATCTCTTTTCAGGAATCATTTCCCTCTTCTGTGTAGCTTTAATTAAGCTTTTAGATAGCGATTCCAGTGATAAAATAAACACATTTTGACCAGAACCTGGACCCAGACTGTCCTCCTACATTAGCATCAGAATCAAAATTTTAAAAACCAGAGAGGAATCAATTTAAGACGTACTCAGTAAGCAGAGCATATCTCCTCAGGCTGTCCAGGAACTCTCTACTGCCGCCCTGGTGGAAGTGCAGCGCGGGCAGTGGAGTGGAGCTCTCTTTTAAAGTGAAGACTATGAAGGTGGAGCCCTTCGTGCTCACAGTGAGGGAGCGGAGATCTCTGAGGCTGAAGCTGAAGGTCCACCTGCTCCTCTCCTGGCTGTGGTTTGGAAATGGAGTCGCGCCACCTGCTGGTGAACATGGCAGCAGGCTGAACTCGCAGGGTTTTCTCCTGAAGGACACGGTGTTCACCATGTCCCACTCTGTCTCACAGCTCTGCTGAGTCTCCTCCCCGGAACACTGTGTCCACTGCACCACTGAACTGGAGTCCTGAGAAAAGTCAGGGGTTAGAAGCTGCACTTTCCTGAATACAGATACCAACCAGGTAAAATTTACTAGTTACAAATTTTGACCAGCAGGCAGCATTGCAACACTACCACAGTAAAACATTCAGTTACTATCAGGATTCAGTCACACAAGAAACAAACCTTCCCAGCACACAGCATATTGGACATGTCCACAGTGTCCTCTAGTGGTCTGTACTCCACCGTGATGTCACCATCCTGCAAGGACAAACCGAGACAAAGTCAAACAATACCCTTGATCAGAACAAAGAACTTCGAGAGCCGAGTCACTGCCTCCAGAAACCACTGTGATGCAGCTCACCTTGTCCATAATCCGGAGTGATCCTGAGACCAGCAGATATGGCTCCACACTGTCCGAATCATCACTGGGATGAATGAATACACCGTCATGTTCAAAAACAACCTGAAAAATAAAAACAAAACCGTTGACATTTGCATGAATGCGTCCAGCCATTCAACATGTAAAGATATGGCTCAGATTTTGGGATGTCCAATAATATAAATATTATATATGTATATGAAAGTGAAAGTCACTAGATGGCAGCCTTGCAGCTCATTTTATTAATCTATTTTAATAACGGGGGATTGTATGCAGAATGCTGGTGCCAGCAACTTGTACCGTGGTTGGTACAGATAAATGAATAAATATTACAAGGTATATCGGTATAGGTTGATACCGGAATAGGAAATCAGGTGTTTGGACAATATCGGCAAAAAGAACATCATTACGTAGATTGTATTAGAACTGCACTGTGAACGCCCCCTGGTGTGGGCCTGACAAACAGGCTGTCTGGCTCTCTCCTAATAAACCGGACTTCAAATATAGTCCGAGGGCAGCAACGCATGACTGAACAGAACCAAGAGAGGAATCCAGAACCACTTTTGTGGAAGTTGATATACTGCAGGGAACCTGTAAAACAGCCAAACAAATCCGGATCTCTACCCATAAACGGATTCTTTCACTACGGAGCAGGAAGAATTGTAAACAGGAAGGCGGAGCAGCAACGGGCAGTGCTGTTAAAACGTGTAAACAAACCACAGGTCATGGGTTTAAAAGTTTATTTAAAGAAGTAAAAGACAAAACGACGTTAGACAAGTTTGGCGTCCTTGGCACGTTGTCCGGTGACCAAAACTATGACGAAAAATGAGCACATAGATCCGACTCAGATGCTCACTTTGGGACTGATGGAGTAGAAGTCGAACCGGGTTTAGACCTGGTCCTAGACTGCACAGATGCATGCTAATGACAGCTAACAGATAGCATGTCCGGAGATGAGTGGACATATTGAACAAGATTAGATTTAGACGGCACAGTGGCAAAAACCGCTTAACTTACGACCCGGATTTAACAGTGCGAACAGAACCGACCCTAGGTAAAAGATCCACTACACCTGATAAACGCAGTTCTTACCTTATGAACAAATTCCGCCGCCATGATGTCTTTTTTCTGATGACGTCAACTGTTCACGTGCCTGTCAACGGCCAAAACAAAAGAAACAAGTCAGCTTCCGGCAGACTTAGTTCCGGTTTCCGCTTTCGTGTTATTGACTGTTTTACAAACCAGCTTCATATTTATTTTTTTTTTATTAAAAAACAAAAATAAACGGGGTAAAAAATAAAGGTAAAACTTATGTATGTTGAAATAAATATTGGCCAAATCTATCTTAAAAAATACATTTAAAAGTTAAATGAAAGCTATGGAAGAACAATAACAAATACCTTTGACCTAAAGTGTGGCAACATAATTTTTGCAGTATAATAGTTTACAAACATACAATTCATAACGTCAGAAAAATCAGAAAGTTGACTTCCTCAATCAATGTTTTAAAAGTATATGTCGTGCCAAATCTGCTAAGGTTCTGATTATGGAGGAACAGAAACAGCAACCTACTCTGCAGCCTGATGATCTGTTAAATTCAATACATCACTTCCTCTTACAAAAGAAAGTAATAAAAAATAAGTAAACAAGAAGATGACATGATAAAAGATTTAAAGGCATCAAAGCCATGAAGGCAGAGCTGACGTTTCAGGAAATGATGTTCCACTTAACAATGAATATCTTATATTTATTCATATATCTTTTCCACTTGAATGAGAACTATATGAACTACCTGTGACATTAATGCGTCATCTGTCACACAGTGGGGCGCAGACCCCTAATGTTCCTGTACGCAGATCTGGTTTACACTCAGATGACTTGGATGACAAAAATTAGTCAATGAATGTCAAGAGTTAAGTAGCAACAAAATACAGAAATAATAACCAAATTTTAGCTATACAATTAGAATTGATTGAGATGATAGAAAACCCAGATATACAGATACTATCTAAAGAATATCTTAAAAGCGAGCTTATCTTGGACATAACCATTCCTAGATGCCTATTAGTTACAGAAATATATTTTAAAAATGAATTAAAATATTAAAGAGATAAAAACATTCTATAACCAAAAGTTAGCCAAAATACAATCTATAGATACCCGTGGTGGGGCTACATTTGTGGGCATCACTCTTGTTCTTTGCAACAAACAATATTTCAAGTGAATATCTGATGATTGCTGAAAGACGATGGCAACCGGCGTTATGAACGAACACATGAGTACTGTCTTTAAATCGGTAAGTTTTTTTTGAATAATGGTGGCTTTATCCTAAATACCATTCCCAAGACTAAATAATATTTGAACAATAGTTTGCATTTGTTAAAGTTTTACCAGAAGCTCATTAAAAAGGTTAACTTGGGTTGGTTTTACGGTCATTTCACATCTCGTTTTTTCTCGCGGTGATTCGTCTTGTCTCGTGTTCTCTCGCGATATTTGTTTCTTCAGAGCACCAGGACGGCAAAAGCTCAGACGCCTGCTACCTTCGTGTCGGTGTTGGTGGTAAACGCTCAACGGGGACTAGAGCTAATGGAGGCGGCCGTTGATAACCGCTCTCCCCGAGAGGACGGAGAGCTAGAGGACGGAGAAATCTGTGACGACGATGCCGAGGAAACCGTCCCTGTGCGGCTGCTTCGCGACGGTCGCAGGCCAGGCCCTAACCGCGGCACTGGGCCGAGGGCGAGAAAGCTCCGACAGCTACCGTTGCTACCACCGCCGGACTTACGCCTGCGTCTACCCTACAGTTTATCGCGCCCTGGATCTGGGCCCGGATCCTTCCCCAACGGTTCAGACCGGCCTCCTTCTCCACCACGTCCACCACTTCTGCCACCGGGACTTGTCCCTCTCGGAGAACCCAGCCCTCGCTCAAGTTTTTGGGAACGGAGCCATTGTGCCTTAGGCCGATTCCGGCATCGGGTCATGCCGAACGCCGGCCGTAGCTGGAGGAATCGAGGATGCCGTGGTCCTTTGAGTCGGTACAATCTCGGTGACAGTCACGGTTTTAAGACTGAATCGCCTCCCAGAAAACGTATCCTGTCCTTTGGTAACTATGACAGAACCTGGACCAGATGGAGGTAAAAGTCTGGTACTCTAAGGTAAAGGTAAAATGTATGGCAAAGAGGAAGCCATAAGTTATTGTTTATTGTTGTTTGGTCTTTGTGTGGGAATAGTTCTGGGATTAAAGGTATATAATCCAGTTTGGCCCTAGAATCCTGGTACTGGTTCTTGCTGTTAGTGCTAATGATTTAATAACTTGGCTCTTAAAAAAATACATTTCTTATTCTGTAATTTTGTGTATGAAAAAAAAAAAAGTTTAATGCAGAATGGTGCTATCTACAGCCTTAACATTTACTGCAGCGAAACCTTCAGGGCGGAATCATCAGATCCAGGTGAGGAAAGTCCCTCACAAGGTGGAGAACAATGTGGACGAGTCTTTTGAAGATCTGCTGTCCAAGTACCGCCAGATCCAACTGGAACTAGAATGTATCAGGAAAGAAGAGACCATGGCACTGGAACCGAGTCCTGGGGCAGCAAAAGAAGATGCCCCAGATAAAGTCCAGAGTATCACAGTGGCCAGAGCAGAATATGATGATGGACCAAGTTCTGTTGGACCAGAGGAACCATCTCAGATGGAGCCCATGGAAATGAAAGTGTTTCAGGCGTTCAACATCAAACCTCTGCGTCATAAATTGTATCAACCGACTCCGTTGGACCCTCTGAAACCCAGGAAAGACGAAGATGATGTAGGAAAACAGGGTGAGTTCACAGACAGTACGTGATGAGCACATTGAAGGGCAATAGGCTCAATATTAGATTAGCTAAAATTTGGCTTCACGTGCTAAACTTAGAATATGAATAAAATCACAGCTTAAAAAAAATCAGTTGGCCAAATATTTGAGTTAACTGTAGTTATCCACCTTTAACAGAGGAAGACGAGCAAAAAAAAACAGACAGTGAAGAGACAGTAACGTGCGTTTGCTGCAGCGATGAGACGCCTGTGATGGAAGACAATCAACAGAAGGATTCGTGTTCTGTCTGTAGGGTAGAGTCTTCAGCGTCAAGTGAAGACTCCGCCTTATCTCCTGACAAGGTAGGCATAGCAGTAACTGCGTCCCCTAGAGGTGGAAACTATTAAAGATAACTTTTGTTATGTATTTTTTCTGATCTCATTTTGTTAATATTTTCAACAGTTCTATGACATTTTAACAAATGTATTAACTTAAGCAAAATTTGTTCCTCAGGCTCCAGTGTCACGGGTTGAGGAGGAGGAGCTATCGGAGCTGCAGCTGCGTCTTCTTGCACTGCAGTCGGCCAGTAAGAAGTGGCAGCAGAAAGAGCAGCAAGTTTTAAAAAAGAGCCAAGATCGTATCACCAGAGCCGCCCCAGAGAGAAAGACCACCGCCACCGCAGTTACCAGTCTGACTCCAGCAGGGGCTTCTACCAACAGACAGAGGGTCACCACCAGGGCGACCTCCTCTGCTGCTGCCAGTACAGCAGAAAAGGCCAAAACCAGATCTAAAAATGTGGAAAGGGAACAAGACCTGACCAAGGCAGGTCAAAAGCCCTCAGACAGGGAGCGCGAAAAAGACCGCCCAAAACCAAGTCCCAAAGCCGGGCCAGAGAAAGGCCGCACAGTGGGGAAAACTCACCCTGTCAAGAAGGCAGTTGGTTCCGGTAAGATCTGTCAGGACTTCCTCTGTCACATGACCTGCAGCAGTAGCATTGACGGTTGCTCTTTCTCTAGCAGGCTCGGTGAGTAAGCAGGCGTTCCGGAAGCAACAGCTGAGGACGTGGAAGCTGCAGCAGCAGCAGCGTCACCTAGAGGAGAAGCGCCGGCATGATGAGGAGCGCCGCCACCGGGAAGATGAAATCCGGCGCATCCGTGATTTGTCCAATCAGGATGAGCAGTACAATCGCTTTATGAAGCTGGTGGGAGGAGCCAGGCCTCGGACGCGCAGTAAAGTAAGGAGCTCCACTCATGTCCAACTGTACGGTGTGTGGCTCTGCCCCTTACTTTACTCTTTTTCTCTTCCTCTCTCTCCTCCCCACCACTTAGTCCAGAGACTCTGACCACAGGAAGTCTGGTGGTAAATCAGGTCTGGACACCTCAGGTAACTTGTACCAATACGACAACTACGAGGAAGTGGCAATGGACACAGACAGTGAGACGGGATCACCAGGTCAGTCAACTACAGGTTCACAGGTCATTGACCTTTTGACTATTTTTAACTCAATTACTTTGTTTTTCAGTGGCGTCTCCAACTCGTAGTTCCTTTCCCCCTGAATGTCCAGGATATCTGGGCGTCCCCCATGCACCTCTCTATGGGTCAGACCCTCTTGCCTTGGGACTGGTATGTTTGACCTATAACATTACAAGGAAAAATATATCATTTTAGTTCCACCATTCAAACAAACCAAACACAAACACAGAAAAGTTAACTCTTGACCTGCTGGTTCATTTTTGCCCCCAGTGGACAAACTGTTTAAATACTGATTTTATTTTTTGGTGCTGAGACTTGGCAGTTAACCAGCAACACCTAACGCTAAAGCAGCTAAAATCCCATATGAGAATACCTAACGCTAAAGCAGCTAAAATCCCACATGTCCTCTTTTGACATTGTGTGACAGTGAAAATTGTCCAATTGTCTAAAACTGTCCACCTGAAGTGCTAAATTAGCAATTCCCCTCCAACATTCCACAAAATAGTTTCAGTGATGTGACTGACGACACTTTCTTCTTCATCAGCCCTTCCTCCCCTCCAACATTTCAACCGTTGCTCCCCCTCCTCCTCCACTACCACCTCCCCCTGAGAAGGAGCTGGAAGCTCCTCCAAAACCTCCTTTTGCAGATGAGGAGGAAGAGGAGGAGATGCTGCTGAGGGAGACGTGTCTCATGTCCATGGTCCACAAGAGGGTGGCGCCGTCCGAGGTCTGAGCTTGTCTGTTTATGTGCACCATGCTTTCTGTCCATTTGGGGGTGCTGCAGGTTTACAAGGCCATGTTTGTGCTTCTAGGAGCAAACTTCGAGTGGCCCTGCCTCCCCCTGTGGTCCAGCTTCACCTAGCTTGGGTGTCCTGCCTCCGTCCAGAGGAAACTTGAGCACGGTCAGTCTGAATACCGTGTCTCAGCCTCGAGTCAACAGGTTCCCCAGAGGGGGGCATAACGCCCGGCTGCCACTAGTGGTGAGATACCAAGTTTCCTGAAATGCCGTGCTGCTGTTGCACTGACATCAGGGGGCAGTGTTGTTAAAGTGACCGACTGTTTTTTCCCTTTTTTCACCCCAGCTGCCCAGACATAAGTCCGTGGTCGTTTCTCTTAATGACTCGGATGATAGCGACTCGGACATGGACACCTGTGGCGCCCCTCAGAGTGTGTTTAGAGGATTGGAGTTTATGATCAAAGAAGCTCGTAGAATGGTGGAGGTGAGGACACATTTATGGACCTCCACTCTAATAGGTCATACTGACAACTTGTGGTAATGTTTCTGGAAGATCAGCAGATGGTGCTGCATTTTTACTGGGATGAGCCCAATGTCTGCGTATTTGAATTCCTTTTCTCTTTAAGTGCTAATATAGAAAATAAGGTGAAAACAAGAGTGTAAGAAAATATTCATACATTGAAAATATCACAATATAATCAAAATTTACAATATTCTGATGAATTTTTTTTTATTGACAATTCACTCATATTTACTCTTCTATGGCTTCTACACTAACACTGAAGGAACATGAATGTATAGCTGTAATAGCTACCTTACCTTCCTGTGACGACATTTGTGTCATTTTTAGGCGTCCAAACCTAAAGCAGCGACGGGAAGTGAGAAGGAGAACAATCCACTCAGAACGTCTGATTTGCAGCTAGAAGTGAAGAAGGCGGACTTTAATCAGCTCAGAGTGGAAACCAACAGGTACCAGCTGTCGTCCCGTCCACGTTCCTGATGTTTTAATGGTTCTGATGTCAACCTGTTGTCCATAACAGAGAGAAACAAAAAAGCGCACAGACGCTGACCATGGATCTGGCCATGCAGAACTCCACCATAACACCAGGGTCTGTAGTGGAGCCGTCCAGAAGAATAACGATGGAGATGAAGCTCTGGGAGGCTGAGCAGAAACTCCAGAAGAACAGGTGAGGGCGCCATCACAGTTGGAGTAAGATTTGGTCTGCAGTTAGGTTACCGAATGTCTCTGAAGTCTTTTTCAGGTCGACCGTGGACCTGATGATGTTTTGTGTCTTTGCTGTTCTCCAGGGAGCTGCTGC